ATTGTTAGAGTAGTTTTTTCTACAAACGTAGAATAAGGCGAACGATAAAGTTTTTGAAAAGATTTTTATCTTGTTACGCCAAAGAAGTATAACTTCTAACGCGTGTACATAAGTACACACACGTTTTTTTATGAATAAGGTGGAAAGTTATTATTAAAAAAATACACTTGTTATTCAATAAAATCAAAAGAACCCTCAAATGACCAATTATTTTAAATTCAAAAATTCGCATAAATACCGTTAAAATAATGCAATTGGTACAAAGTTTTTACCGTCATAGATAAGTGAAATGAAATTTTCCTCTTAAAGGATCTTAGTCACGTCTCGGCAGTGAAAGCTAGTATTTGCATGGAATAACTTACATGTTTTACTTAAAATCTAGTATATTTCTCTATGGTACGCACTTTTATATATCTCGTTACGTACGTGCGCATATATCGTGGTGGAAGTCTACGCATATAGTAGGAAAAATCTTCTGTCAACCTTGCGTATATGTATGTGTAGATGTTTCTTTCCATGAGTAGGCAATACGATGAACGCTCCTTCAGTGTTTAAGTGTAATCAAAAGAAGTTTAATGTCATATCAAGTTTACGTCTAAAAAATAACCGAACCTACTGCGGGGAGCGATTTGTCAAAGTTTTAATTGAATGACACTATCGGTTGTATTAATATTAATCCCCGAGGCCACATTGATAATGTTTTGCTTGTAAATGAACTAAAATACCGACTTCGTTACGAGTGCCTGTAGCGAATTTCAAAGTAACTTTATAGCGGATTCGAAATTTGAATGTGTTTCGAAATTCGAATATTTTTCAACAGTCACTTGTAATTTTACGTACGCTAAAAGTATCATCATATTAATTAAAAATAGTTTGATCCGATGAAATATTGAGGCATGTAAAATTTAGTAGATTAAGGAATAATAATTTTCGTATGAAAAGGTTTAATAAGTGTATTAGAAGCTAAATGAACTAATAAAAATAATTCTACTATTATTCGGGTTTAATAATTTTTAACTACATCTATAGATATTTTAAATATTTGGTATAGTTAGCTTTTGATTCTTTTGCGTTCACACTGTTAGGAACTGACGTTGTATGGCTGACAAAATTATCAGAAAGTCTGCTAAGAGAATATAAACTCATTTTAAGTACTATATGAGCAGTGTTGGCCTAGTGGTTTAACGTGCGGCTCCCATACCAGAGGTCGTAGGTTCGATCCCCGGCTGTGCACCAATTGAATTTCTGTCAATCAAAGTCAAAGTCAAATCATTTATTTCAATTAGACCATCTAAAATGGCACTTTTGAATGTGCGCATTTATCACTCGCTCGTACGGCGAAGGAAAACATCGTGAGGAAACTGGCATGCCTTAGACGCAAAAATTCGACGGTGTTTGTCAGACGCAGAAAATTCATCACCAACTTGCCTATTAGGAATCACTGAACAGATACATAAATCTGAGGCCCAGACCTAAAAGGTTGTAGCGCCATTGGCATATATATTAAATACTATAATTGTTTGTAATATCGCCACCGCTAAACTATGAAATATTTTTTTAATATTATATTTTAGGGGGCGATCCGGGCTTTGAGGGAGAAGTTTGCTTGTTTTTAAATAAGTACATGGAGTTCGTATCTCCGTAAAGACCTCCATTGGGCTAGTTCGCAAATGGAAAAGTCTAATGTAAATATTGGATTATTTCTATAGATGAAGTCCATAAAGCTGGAAATGTCTCTGACATATAAAACATGTTTTCCCACGCCTCGAAATTGTCAAAATATCGTTGGCGTTCATGAAAACATATTTCTGAAAGGTTATTTATACGAAAAGGAAATCATTCTTTCTGATTACTTTTTCAGACGTATTTCACTGTTCTTTATCGTGATTACTTTTCGATTTTATATCTTTGTTCCGATATTGTCTTTGAAATTATTCACATGTATCAGATTGTAATATATCGGGTATATCGGGTTCATTGGTATGTCTAGCGTTTTTGGGGATCTGGGGCCATTCTTGACATCCTGGGGCGGGAGTCAGTCTCGGTCGTCATGGCACACTATAATCGCTGTGTGTAAGATTTTACCTCGGTCATAGCTTTGTAGCTTCTTGATTAACCCTTCAAAGATTTTTTTAGTTCGAACCTTAAGTTTCTATTATTATGTTCATTGGTTCACGCACTCAAACTAACTTCGCTGGGTCTTTTTAGCTTTACAAAACCGATAGACTATAGACTTTTTTTTTCTGCGGTTATTTGCAATCAGCCCCAAGGCTATGAGCGAATTTTTTCTGTGGTGCTGTCATGTGGAGTGACTTCCCATTGGAAGTATCTACTCATCTTCTGTCTAGAGCTACTGCCGGTCTTCTAGCTCTAGAATATGGTGACGTTTTAGACTATAGACTAAAGATCATTAATTTACCGGTGTTTGGCTCAATATTGGACCACAGACGTAGTTAAATTTGTGTTGTGAAAAATAAATGATTAGGTATTGCGGAATGTTTGCAATATAATTTTTTTTTTATAGAACAATGGCAAACGGGCAGGAGGCTCACCTGATGTTAAGTGATACCACCGCCCATGGACACTCAATACCAGAGTGCTTGCGAGTGCGTTGCCGAAATCTAATAAACTCGGCATAGGTGAATACTATTTCTTTAGATGTTGTATGTTACTGTATATCATATATGCATCTATGGCTCAGTGGTCAGCGCATTGTTCTATTTCATCGACTCACTTGCCGTTGATTTCGTAAACTATATAATATCTGCTATTTGACGGCCTCGGATACCTATTATATAATAATACGATTAAAAAATAAATATAATAATTAGCATAATTTTACTAACAAAGCCTTCCCACATTGTGCTAATCGCTAATGTTCTCAAGTTCAATGTGACTCGTTAAAAAAATCAAGGTTAATTCAAGGTTTATTATCAAGTTTTTAATGTAAGACTTTTGGCGAATGAAACTACTTAAATGTAAATTATTATTATGTCTTTTCTTTATATCAAGTGTGTAGAAACCGCGTGTGTACATGTAAGTTATCTGGTATAAGCGTGTTTTGATACCCTGACGCGGGATAGGTGGACAACAGATAAATTAAAAGTTTAAACTATTTTAAGATAATATTTACTATTTTCTGTAGCAAACTTATATGTATTTACTTATGCTCACGTAAGATATTGGTGTTAGGTATCTCGCACTAAATTTATTTTTTAAATTGCCCAGTTGTCACGAAACAAAACTGTTTTTAAACAATTACCTCTATCAAACTGGTTTATATTCCGTAATTGTTGGGGAATATTTTGAATAAAAATAATATCTTAATAATTCTTTATTACTTTATAAAGAAAGAAAATCACAGTGGACTGTCATTGTCAAAAATACGCATTAAAATATTAAAATAACGCGTTTTCTACATTATTTTCCTCTTCATCTGTCAGATTTACAAAAATTAGAGGCAAAGAATTCACAAAATTCATGCAAGATATCTCTGATATTTTTTACAAAGGCAACATTCTTTTACTTTACAAACGATTGGACACAAAGAGTCGGCGTGGCTGGGGCAAGGGGAGTGAAATTTTAGAATCCTTTCAGATGCCTTCGTACGTGCTGAAGGCTAAAATACAATTCTCTGTTCACGACAGGTTTAGTACCACCGCAAATACTGTATGAATGCCGTCGTTTAGAGATATTTATTTTAATACATAGTTTTTATTTATACATTACACATGTGTGTAGTAAAATGCATTTAATTGTGCGTTGAAAAAAGGTTTAAAAGTATTGTTGAGTTTTAATATAATTTCTTGTTAATTTCAATAGAACTGAAGAAATAGTATGTAAAGGATCATTTGACGTTCACAAACGATTATGTTTGTGAATGATTAAAACATGAATTTGTTACACATAGACATTAATATCCTATATTTATAAAATTTTGTTTATTATATACAACGTAATACGAATGAGACAGTTTAATCTTAATATTACACAAATTGTCTTTTGAAGAACTTCATTTGTTGGCAAGATGTTTTTAACTTCGGAACCTAATTCATAAGAGATTTCAAGTACCAAGTATCTATATCTCAAATTAAAAAATTGTAAAAAAATATAATTGTAATTGTAGTGTAAAAACGAAAATTATTTATTCTACATAAATAAATACCTAAATTGCTAGCGCAATGCTGTCTCCGGTGGACATTACTCGTACTGTGATGTCGTGTTTTCAGCTCATGAACCAGTCTGACTTGTAGACTACCGTCTCGCCTTTTCAAAACTTCAAGGAATTGATACAATATACGTGTGCCTTTAAATTTTGTACAATATTTTGTTTTTAATGAATTTATTCTCCGCTGTGAACTTGAACATTATCTGACACTAATTGGAAATAAGCCTAACCAGATGAACTAAAAATTCTAATTATATAATTTTAATAAGGTAAAGTTCTATGCATAATTTACAGTTATCTTTTATGAAAATTATTACTCAGAAAGGTAGTTTCTGAATTAACTCATTCAAACCAAGACACACCCGATAAGGTTACTTTGGTCCGTTTATCAGCACACCTTCGGGACAGCCCGGCTTTATTCCTCGTGACAGATGGGTTTCTCACCTCTAAGCCAATTCTGACCAACGCTGATAAGCTTTCTCACTTACTCGCCTGTACATAGTCCATTACATGTAAAAACGTTGTTTTAAATTTCGAAAAGGTTTTCATTTATTTAATGCTCCGGATGTGTACGCTCGTATAGGCGGCGTGTTGCTCATATTTTATTCAAATATCAAACTCCCGTGCGCTAAGCTCTCAGCATAATATTGCTTAAGCATGGACCAATTCACAATATCCTACACCTGAATAATGCCTAGTTTTCCATAAATGCATTTGAATAACAGCAGCCCAACAGCCAGTTACAGTTTTATAACGCAATATTGAATATTACAATGCAAAACCATCTCATATTACTTTAGCGCGAAACGTGAAATGAATAAGGGATGCAGTGATGGAATTTTTGACGCAAATTGATACATTTAAGATTGTGAAAATGATTGTGCTGTCCAATATATTTCGCGGTAATCATCTACAAAACCAAATGGCAAATGAGATTAATGTTACCGACAAAGAGAACTCGCGGCCGATCTCACAAAGTTCGTTGCGATTGAAAAAGAAAACAAAAACTGTGGACAATATAAATGACACTGTAGCTAACGGATTAAAGAAAGTGAATAGTGAAAAGTGTATATCGAATAGTGTCGACACTCTCCTCACACATAGGGAGGGAAAGGAGAAAGTGATATGTAGTGCCAAAGGTCTTTTAGAAACTAATTTAGATGATATTTTTAATGATGTCCATGATGCATGGAATCAACCAAAGAGCTTGGGAACAAGCGAACCTATATTGAGATTTAACGATAGTAGTAGTGCGGGTAATCGAGAGTCCTACTTGTCTGAAGAGAGTGAGGATACGTCTGTCAGTGACTGTACAGATATTGATGCGCGGGAGCAAAGGAAATGTATGGGAGCACGACGCTTTGGCCATTTGCTAAGGAGGGTCATATCGAGAAATGGTAAGTCTGTATGTTTTCGTCAACTCAGTTTTGTATTGCGGAATATACTCAATATTAAGAATATCCATAGAGCTAAATAACCTGCATCATGAGCTCACCCCACACACACACCCTCTCGTACATCCTCTCACTTTTACACCATCACAGCAGCCGAATTAGGTATTACGTATTTAATAAGTTTTATTGATTTTTTCCTTTCGTAAATGTTTGAACCTTTTTGTATATATAGTATTCCATTTTTGCCTATATGTTAAGTATAGTTGATTTTTGTTGTATATAATTTGTTAGCTCTAGGATTACGAAATAATATATAGTAAATAGTGTTAGTCTATCTAGTTTCAAGAGTACGGTATTTGATGTACGAAATTACTAAAAGCGAGATTTTGACTTGGGATACGATTTATTAATCGGTAAAGTAATAAACTCTATCATTTGTAAATCACTTACATAGTTTTTAGACTTCTTACACCAATCGCAGTATAATCAATTTAAACTTCTAAGCTTAACAGAATTTGTTCTAAAATAAATTGAGTAAACAAAAATCAATTTTCAAACTTTTGTAACAACGAATCTAAATCAGTCGATAAACATCTGGTATTAAATTGAAATGGCGTCATTTATTTATTTTCAATTGTCGCAAATTGTTTCCCTCGCCCCGACTGAGATGACCGTCGCGTCGTAAACTTGTAAAATCGTCGATCCTATCTTGTCCCATTCAATTGGTTTGATTTTGAATTATTATCTTGTCTTTATCTAACATTGTCTTTGGTCGTTTAGTTTTATATAAAACTTTATATCTGACTAGCGGCCCGTCCCGGCTTCGCACGGGTAGACTTTTTTTTTAAATTTGTAGATATTGTTCTTTAATATTGTAGGATTTTTTTTTGTTCTATCATCAATAGTTTTCGCAGTGCATGCGATTAAAGATATTTTATAGGCACCTTTTTACACGTTGGGTAAAATTGTTGTAGTTTTAGTAGGGATCCTATATTAATCAGTGATAATGTAGCATTCAAATGGTGAAAGAATTTTTAAAATAGGTCCAGTATTTTTTGAGCCAATTCGTTACAAACATTATATTAGTATAGATGAACGCATTGTGTGTGATGCAATGTGATGAAAGTCAGTATTTGTTTTTGACATATATTTTATTAGTTCTTAGTCACTAAAATGTAATTCTTGGTAGAAGAAATGAAAAACAGTGATGTATTTTTGTTGGTTAAACAAACCATTTTTCCATCTGTTGCAAATGAAATCTTAAAATCCTTCTTATATAATATGATCAATTTTGTGGCGCTTTTCGAGAGACATAACAAGTCATACTAAGTATAAACAACTCGTAACCATTTTTACGAGTTGACCCATGACTTGCTGTCAAAGTGAGGTTAGTTAAAAAATCCAAATATATCTGTGTTTTAATTTATTAAAATGTTTTTTGTTTAGTTCGTAAAAAATACTTCTATCTCGTACTTGTGTGGGCAATTGCAGTTATATTATAAATTCATTGAATTCCCTATTAATGGCGTATCATTAAATCTCATATCTCACACATAAATATTCATTAAACAAATAAATGCGCTCGTTTATCTATGGACAATGGTTTCCCTTACCAAGTGGAAACTAAGTTACAGACTTCTTGATTAACACCTGGGTTACTTTTGGAGGACTTTGCGTTCCTATGTGCTTATTTATATTGAATAAGAAGTTTCTGGTACTTAGCAGATTTTATTAATAGTACGCTGTGTTAATTTTTAAGCTAGAGTATTCTAGCCCCATAAAAAATATTAGACCGGCTCATGACTACACGACTCATGTAAAGCTCTAAGTATATTATGTAATGAATTTCCCCGCATAGTTGAATTTTAATGGATAGTAGTCGCTGTATGTAAACCATTTTTAAATTTTAAAATCAGCCATTCAATTATGCATCTAAAAAAATCTGCGTGTATTTTCTAATAACCCTAGATTATTTAAATAGATATAATGAAATTTATACTTCTTTATCCATTTCAATAGTGATACTGAAATGTACTCGTATAAAAAAGATATATTAATTACGCGGAGTCTCGAAACCCTCCGCTTAATCTAATATTATTTAAATACATTTTTATTTTAGATACAATACCAATATTTAGCCCTTATTTCCATTTAAATTGTGTTATATATAAATGCATAGGACTTGTAAAAACCAAAGACATTATAATTATTATATACGCGAAGTCCCTTAATCTAAGATTATTTAAATACATTACTATTATAGATAGAAAACCAAAATGTTAGCCCATTTTTCCATTTCAATAGTGTTATTTTAATGGATAGTACTCGTCAAAACCAAATACAATTATTTATGCGAAGTCCCGTAATCCTAATATTAATTATTGTTTTAAAAAAATACGTTTTAAGTTTAAAAAGTAATATTTCTTTTGGCATCCAAAAGTTAATATTAACATTTAAGTCCCAACCTCTAAGAACAAATATGAAGAGTATTAATCAGTAATAGATCACGATGTATATGATTGGCTTGTAATTTTACATTCAGAGTTTCTACGGGAAAATTCCGTACAATTGATCGAAGATTCAATGGAAAGATCGAGATGAAACTGGGAGATTACACAAGTACAAAAGGAGCTGTAGCGCTGATTCAAATTTTCCTCTAATCGTTCGATACGTTTTCTGAATAGTGATTACAGTCTTTGTAAACTGTTTTCTATGTAAGGGTTTGAAATTGCTTCGAGAGTACATATATACAGTGTAAACTCTATATAACGACACTCAAGGGACCGTGCATATTTTGACGTTAAATGGAAAGAAGAAAAACCTGTATTTAGGAAAAGATAAAGTTTATTTCAGACTAGCGTTAGTAATTACATAAAAAACTATTTTTATTTGAACGCAATTGCGTATAGGCTGTTATTTTCGTATGAATTGAAACAGTAATTATGTTGTATTTTTTTTACTTATTTTATTAATATCTTTCGATATTGAGGGATCTTTGTGGTAAAGCACCTGCAAGCAATCCCAATTTGTAAACGGATTTCTTAGAAAGTTCGGTACGTATGACGCTGATAGACGAGTTTATTATGGTCTAAGATCCCGCTGCAGGATTGGTGCGCTCATCGACTATTTGTTTAAAACCAAATTTTTATGTTTATTTATAATTAAGAGAATATATATTTACTAGGGTGCCTATCAAAATTTGGCCGCCATTATTTTTAATTAAATTATTTTTGATTGATTTTTGGTAAAAAATTGCGTTCATTTATTATTTAAATAAAATAACGTCTACATCACGGTAATTAATATGAAGATTCTAAAAAATCACGGGTGCCGTTGCGCACATGGCCGCACCTCTTTGCAGCCAGGTGTAAACAGGTATGATTTCGATAAATTTATACGTTTATAACCTATTTTTAGCTTAAAAATTAACGTTCGACGCATGCGCAATGGCTTAAAAGCGTCGCACAGCCGACAATCGCTGTCCTCGTCTGACAAATGATGTTACGCGCTAACTCTCTTTCACTCTACCTTAAATATTTATTATCTTTAACAGCCAGTAGCCCTTATTTGCGGCCAGATTTAATTAAGCAACTTTATATGATAATTAATAGAAAAAAATTAGCTTCAATTTGACATATAATTAATAAAAATAGGTTATAAACGTATAAATTTATCGAAATCATACCTGTTTACACCTGGCTGCAAAGAGGTGCGGCCATGTGCGCAACGGCACCAGTGATTTTTTAGAATCTTCATATTAATTACCGTGATGTAGACGTTATTTTATTTAAATAATAAATGAACGCAATTTTTTACCAAAAATCAATTAAAAATAATTTAATTAAAAATAATGGCGGCCAAATTTTGATAGGCACCCTAGTAAATATATATTCTCTTAATTATAAAAAAACATAAAAATTTGGTTTTAAACAAATAGTCGATGAGCGCACCAATCCTGCAGCGGGATCTCGTACTATTATGGGCTAGGACAATAAAGCAATATAACGTACACAGCTCCGCAGTTTTAACTAATTTCGGAAACTTAATAAGTACGTTTTATTATTTTATTATAGTTATTAAGGGTGGGTGTACTGCTATGTAGAGTTATCATTGTATGGAAAACAAGCTAAACCAACCAAAAACGAGTGATTTCGACGCTTTAGGGGGTTTTATCGTTAAATCCAGGGAGGTTACAGGGAGTTTACACTGTATATAAAAATCTACTTGTTTACAAGATAATCTTTCAAATTATATGTATCAATTAAATTTACCATTGTGGCATCGTATTTGAAATATTATTTTGAAACATTCAGTACTCTGAAAAACTTTTAGTTGATACAGTCTATAAGAAAGTCTCTTCCGAGGAAGTAAAATTTTAAATTACAAAAAAAATATTTTATCTCAAAAACCTGTATGTCTCAAAAACATATTAGATTTGACAGTTTCTATCATCCCAGGCGCTTACTAAGAAGCTCTCGAGACCTTTTATTCGCATCGCTTTTCAGATTTGAATTACATTATATTATAAACATACCTTATCAGCTCCAGCAAATTTTTAACACGGTACACCTAAAAGGTAGTTAATCCGCAGTTCTAACTCGTTCAAGCAAAATTGCAATCAATATCTGATGCAGCTATATTTAACCGTGTTACGTGGCTAGACTGTTAATGGGTTGCACGAAAGTTCAGTTCATCGATACGCTTAGTTGGCCTTGTACAAGCGATACGGTGTCATACAACTGCAAATAATACATTAGCGAAAATTGGAAATGGAATGAGGTCATTCACCTTACAGTATAGGAGTATGTGGCCTCTATATGTATGCTATGTATAGCTTTTTGACTAGTGCATAGTAAATATACATGTTTAAATCTAATCTATTTCCAGTAATAATATTTTTTGGAGCGTTTTTATTACATCGATGTGTCAGGCTGATACAGTCAAGTTTTGTATATATAATTTCGAGTTGACACAATATGCTGTATATTTTTATTTTATTTTTTTATTTATAAAAACACCCCTGCCCTATTTGTCGACCCTAAATTGACAAGAGTGCACAATAAGTAAATAAAATTTACAGACGAAACAAAAAAAGAAAACACACGAAATTAATTAGAAAAATTACATACTAAAAAATACAAGAAATTAACTAACTGCTATTACTATAGCCACTAAAAATTACTAGAACTTTTGCCAGACGGACAATGAAGAAGGTCCATTAACCTATTTAATTCGTTAACTAAATTATAATTGTATAATATAACTCAAATATATGAAAAATTTTCTCGTACTTTTATTAAGGAAATTGTATATTATATGGCGATTAGACTATAATAAATGTATGTGCACAACGCCTAAAGTGCTTTTAAGCGCACTAGAGTCGTTTAAGATCTTCTGTTTAATAATCGTAAAAGTTAAAAACTCGTTAGGCGGCGGACGTTAGAGGCTTGGTATCGACCTGCTTGCGCCAATTTTACCTGCACTTAAACGTAAATATTACAGTCTATGAACGGGTAAAGTTTTTAAAGCTACTAAGTGCCTATATACGAGTAGTATTATAATAAAAGCCAGATGCGGGAATACTTCTGAACCAGGGCGTGTTTCGTGGCGTTGTTGGGCTTGGCCTTTTTGAGGTACCGGGGAGTCTTGCCCGGTGTGGGTTGACCGCAAGCCGGATTCGAAAATGAATATAAAATTGTATGCAAATGGCAGTGGCCGCTTGGTCATACAGATTTAAGTATTTTCATACAAATTTGATAAGCAGTGTTACTGCACAGTTTTCATTTTTAATACGCAATAGCGAACAGCAATTTTGCTCAGCGGAAGTTACACCTGCAATCAATTAAATCACAGGTGTTTTATCATGTGAATAATTATATATCTATCCTTAAAAGGTGAATTATTGACCACGAGCTGTAATAAAACACTTTTTTATCTCGTCTGACATACACAGAGCAGAGGAAATTATAGATTTATAAATGTTTACTTATAGTTTTTGTATAAATGGATGGATATAATGTGAAATCTATATATATAAAAGAAAAATGGTCTTCGTTTGAGGCTTCATCACGCCTAAACCACTGATCGTATCTGACATGAAACTACCACCATTCGATGCGAAATTTTTCCTAGATGGTTTATGGCTATTTATTAAATTCCAACGTTCCTTCATTTTTTTATTGCTGTTTTACTTTTATGAAAATTTATCCATACGGACTTCACCGCGGAAACATTCGGGGAGGCTTCCTAGAACCTCTAAACGTCAACATCTGTTAAAAACTCGATTTTCGAAATATTTCAATTTTCTTAGCGGGAAGTTAAAAAGAAGAATAATAAAAATATGAAAAAAATAAATAAATAATGAAACATAAAATTTATTTTAATTCGTCCAGCAAAGCGGGCGCGAAACGGCTAGTATATAATAAATTTAATTTGTCACAAATATTCTTAAGACAAAATTCAAAATTCCTCTTTTAGTGTAAATATATCTTATTACGGTTCGATGAGAATAAAAAAAGAATAGACGATTTATTATTTAAACTTTATCACAGAAAAACAGTTGTTTTTAATATATTGTAATATAATTTTTATGTTAGCTTGCACTTATTGTATTTCCGTCTATTTTTCTTTATGATCAGCTTTGGCCTAGTGGCGTGCGGCTCTCATTACTGATGATCGAACCAGCATCAATGGACTGCCTTAGACCCAAATTGTCGACGGCGTGTATCAGGCACAGAAGGCTGATCACCTACTTGCCTATTAAAAAAAAAAAAAAAAAACAAATACAGATAGCTGAGGCGCAAACCTTGAAAGGTACTAATTTATCTTACACTAAACTATAAATGATAGAATTTAAAATTAAATACGACCACTACGTAGTTTTAATTTCTTTATATTTTGTCGTTAGAGCAGTGTTGCCCTAGTGGCTACAGCGTGCGACTCTTATCCCTGAGGTCGTAGGTTCAATCCCTGGCTGTGCACCAATGTAATTTATTTCTATGTACGCATTTAACATTCACTCGAACGGTGAAGGAAAACATCGTGAGGGAACCCGCTTGCCTGATCCAAAACGTCAACGTCACCTACTTGTCTATTAGATTACCAAATGATCATGAAACAGATACAGAAATCTGAGGCCCAGACCTTAAAAGGTTGGAGCGCCATTGTTTTTTTTATATTTTGTCGTCAATGTATAGGTCAGTAAATGTAACGATACCATAGTGTTAGTAAATAAATACTCTCATATTGGGTAGATTAAACTATATAAGAACTTTTTGATAACTAACGGGAAACTTTTTGTTGAAACCATTCTCGATTTAGTCGGTACGTGACGGAGGACAACTCAAAGATTGATTCCGTACTATTTTTATTCGTTGTGATAGATCGGGGTTCTTTTAGCAATTTGTGGGGTTCTATGATTTAGCTTCGTCATGGAGAGTTATGTAACTTGGACGGTGTGAATTATTGAGAGGGAATATTTTATGAGATAATATTTGAGTACAAGTATAATAGTGGATGTTTTTAAAGGAGGAATATGAAGATTTTGGTTATACTGTGTTACTTAGCGAACCCCGAGGGCCCATTAAGGGCGTTAATAGTAG